AACTAGCCGCCGACGGCTGGACACAGAACGGCCGGCCTCCGTAAACGGCATCCTTTGGCCTGGACGGTCGGGCCATGGCGGCCTCTTGTGGCGCTGCCGCGATACGGGGCCGACCCTTACCAAAGCGGTCGCGATCGGCGACTAGTTTCATCAAAATCGACCGGCATAGCCCGCCGGCCGACACACAGAAATAAAAAAAAAATTAAAAAAATATTTAAAACGTAAAAAAAAAAAAATACCCTTGGTAGGACAAATCCCTTGCATGTGCGTGAGGGTTGTCTGGAGATTTTTAGAAATTTTTCGAAATTTTTTCTAAGAGAAAGATGAGAGAGAGAAGGGTAGAGAGAAGAGAGAGAGAATTTTTTTTTAAATCTATATATATATATATAATTGCTAGCATATAACATTTAATAAAACCTATTTAATAAAACCTCTAACATTTTTCCTTCCATTTTCGGTTACAAAATTTAACATTAATATTTTTTACTTCTCACATTAATACATCATATTAAGTGTAATCATGTATTTTTCCTATTATATTATATAATAGTTATTGCTAATACCAACTAATAATAATTCACAATAAATATAAATTACCTAATTAGAAACAATTGTTTCAAGTTATTTATATTAACATCAATATTATCTTTTTCTTTTGGGGTAATTTATATATTTATTAATAAAAAAATAGTAAGTGGACAAAAAACAAAAAGAAAAAGGGGGAGTGGACCAAAATCAAAAACACGTGTTCACTAAATACGTTTTCTTTACAATTTCACTGTAAAACGTATTCAAGGAATACGTTTTTCACATTTTTTTTACAAAAGAAAACATATTCACGGAATACGTTTTACAATTAAAAATTGTAGAAAACGTATTCACTGAATACGTGCTTTTCATTTCTTTCCACTCCCACTTTTTCCTATATTTGTTTTGTCTGCATGTTAAGTTTTGATTTTTTTTGGTAAAAAAATCTTTTCTTTTGTATCTCATGAAAAAAATTCTTTAAAAATAATAAGTAAATTGTTTTAATAGCATAGTCAAACAACTTTAGAATCTTATAAACAATTGTTTCTTAATAATAAT